AGGATTGCACGTACAATTCCTCCCCCATAAATCCCGTTGGTTGCTTCCTGTCATTTTTAAGGTCAAGATGGAAGGCATAATAATTGTGGTCAGTGCTATGATAATGATCCACTTCACATTTGTTAGTCTGTTAATGTTCGCTCTTGTCTAGATTTCTTTGGAACTTATTTGCAGCCTGTTTTTATTTATTCCACACTCATAGCCCCCTCTATCAGAAGGAAGCAGCGTTTTATAGGGAGTAAAGAATAACATGAGAGAAATAGATATTAGGTTCTCATTCTTATCTGTTCTGGTAAATATTGGGGAAATTCTGAATACCTGCTTTATCTGTTATAAAAAGACATTCATGCTATGATCTAGGAAGTCTCTCCTAGTTTTATATAGTTACCCTTGGTACCTTATGAGAGGATCCCCCAGTCCAGCCCGCCTCCCCCTCCCCCAGCGTGGACCCCTTTAGGTCACAGCCGCCCCTCGGCGGCCACCCCAGGCTGTGATTTGGGGACTTGGAGGGAGGGGGTCCGGGTCTGGGGTGCTGGGGGCACCCGATACTGTCCATTCGAGCTTCTCCCTCAAACCCTGGGCTTCTGTCTGTCTGGCCGGACAATCAGCAGCGCCTCCCCCGTGTGCCCCGGCTCGGGGCTTCGGACCTGGGGGGTCAGCGAGGCTGCTCCCGGCGGTGGGATGGGGCGCCGGGGGCCCTGCGATGGAGGGGATGTGCAGTCACCCAGCCACCGCGTCTGTTCCTTTGTGGAGAGAAAGGAAGGGGTGGGGGTTATTTATCAGCGCGGATTCTCCCATTTCTGCCTGCGAGGAGCCCGTGTTTGGCAAGTCTCTGTGGAACCTAAAACTCCGTGTGCGCCGGGGCGGCTCCCGGGAGAGGATTCCCAGGCTCCGTCGCACCCCAACTCGCAGTGGGGTGGGCCCCCTCCCAACTTCGCCTTAGTTTTCCTGCGTATTTTGGCGCAGCCTCCCTCGGGGTGAAAGATCTGGGGAGAGGGGAGGGGATCAGAGTTTCTAAGTTGCACCCCCAAGTGTGTGTGGGGCCCTTTTGCCGTCTGTCTAGCATGTCCCTCCAGTTTTTATTTTAATGGCCCAGAGACAAGGGCCCTGGCTGGGGGCCGGGGTGGGGCGGGGGGCGGACGGGGAGTAGGAAAGCTGTCCGTGTTGTGTGGCTGGTAGTTGTCTAATTGTAACGAGCTGAAACTCTGGAGTCTTCCTGTCTGCCTTTTTTTTTTTTTTTTTTAATACTTCGTCTATTGCCCCCTCCCCCCGCCCCCCAGGGGAGAAGCACACAGAACCCGGAGAGCCTCCCCATTCCTGACTTCAATCCTTTTCTCTCCTCCTGGGGAGGCCTGGGGGGGGGGGG